TAGGCCGTTGTTGTGACTTAGATACAATATTCTTGGAGCAATTTGTGTGGGAGCGAGAGGGTGCGGCGAGGGTACACGTTATCAATTTGACTAGCCGACACGAATTAGTAAGTGACTAGAACGCGAAACACATCATTGGCAAGACTTCGTATTACGAGCGCACGCGGCCGCTAATTCCGAACACTAGTTACTTTTCAGTATGGCAATTACGATGGCCATAATTATTAGTTAGACATCACTGAAGATCACAGACATTCCGAATACATTAAGTACGATATTGTCGCACGCCCCCGCCTCCCAGTCACATCACAGACGCGCCTCCTAAACTAAACTCGCGACCGAACAGAACGGCACTGTCATCAACTAGCGATCGGTTAAAGTAACATGTGATGGACCGAAACAAAAATACATACAATATTTACAAATAAATCCTACAAATTAAGCTCCTCAGTTGAAAAAGATTAAATTACATCACTAACGATTGCTTTACAAAACATTTCCCTCGCCTCGATACTCAGTCCAATTTACTACTTACTCTAGGAAAGTACTCGTTCCCGCAGAGCGGCGGTAGCGCCGGCATAGTCTATGTACACTAACAGAAGCCGCCGAAGCCGACGGACGGCACGGACGGCACGGACGGCACGGCCGGCACGCCGCCCGAGTGCTCGCCGTTCTTGTGCAGGTCGATCAGCGGCGGCGCCGACAGGTAGTGCGCCTGCAACACCCCACATTGTCACTCCGCCCTCGGGCCCTCGCCCTCGCCCTCTAGCCCATACGCACCTGCTGGTGGTGCGCCGGCGGCGGGCCCGCGTACCCGTTGTAGTAGGGCGCGTTGTAGGGCGCGTACCCGGCCGGCACGCCCGCCGGGTACCCGTACTGCCACTCGGACAGGTACCCGGGCGTGGGCCGCATCACGGCCGTGCCCCAGCCGCCGCCGTACCCCACGAACGGCCCGCCGTACCTGCAAGCGCCGAGTTTAACATTATTTCACAATATAAAATCTATAAAAATATGTATACATGTCAAGAAACTCCATTTTACTCTTTTTAGTCGATAGTTGTCAAGGAATGAATAGTTTCTTTAAAAGTATTCCTCTTAAAACTACGAAAACTTTGAAATCATCTCCAGCACTTGCTGTCGAGCTTTTCAGGAGTAACGTCAAACAATGTCCTTCGGACTTTAGGTTTCAATACACAACCCCCCAGGCAGTAATACAGGCGTTTACAGATATCAAAGTAAAGTCCACTGAAGATATTTGGGGAATGTCTGTTAGAGTGTGCAGGTCTTTTATAAAGACTATAGCGCCTTACTTAACTGCCTAAAAGTGTAGATCAAGTTCCCATTATTTAATTCAGGTGATTGTACAGAACCTAATAACTATAGGCATGTCTCTATTTTGCCGGTATTTGCCAAATTTTGCACAGTTCGAAAGGGTGATGCTTACTCAAATGTGTATTAAAGTTAAAGTGACGTAGGTCACTTTAACCCAAATTCTATTTTTCATGACCAACAATACGGGTTTACCAAGGGACGTTACACTACGGACGCATAAGAAAGTTGATTTAATTGAAAAAAATGTTTGTTTTACAGTTTTACTACATACATTATTGTACCCTTATGTGATAACAATCCAGAAACAAGTAGATAAAATTTTTTTTTTAATCCTTTATCGCCTCGAACATTGGCTCACATATGCATACTGACAATCCTAAAGAATACTTCTATATAAACTCTATGATTAAATAATAAAATAAGAATTTTTGATACTACACTTAGGGATACATACTATAAACAACATAAACTGACAAGGCATCGTTAGGATATTTATAGTCTGCTAAGCTTTGCGCCCGGTGGATACCTCATAATTTGACTGAGGTTCAAAACTCATTGTGTGGATTGGTGCTCTAAAATGATTGATTGAAAGATTCAATGGAGGTGACTCAAATGCTGTGTTCGACATATTAACAGGTGACGAAGGCTAGATTTACTGTTATAATCCTGCAACCAAGAGACAATCTGCTCAGTGGGTGTTTCCTTTCGAGGAGTTACCAACTAAAGTGACAAGCCTTGCTGTGTGTACGTATGTAAGCTGTCGAATCTGTGTAACTGCAAAAATAGCTGAACTTAATCTCCACCGAAAGCGCCTTTATGTGAGAAACCCATTGAATTCTATTGTGGTAACGTGGAACCTAGAGAACTGTCTCGTTGACAAATTCCAACGTTTGCACATTTTGAAAAGCTGAATGAAATACATTTGTTTTTTTTTCGTTAAGCGCAAAATTATTGATTGTGAACCAATTTGACAAATGGAGCTGTTTACTTGAACAAAATTATCAAATGTAGACTTATTTTAAAAATTTATGACGTATCATCTGAAAACAGAACCATTATTGCTTCAGTTTTATATAGCAATGGCAAGTCAATACCTAACCTATATAGTAAACATACACTAAAAAGAGAAACAGACCCAATATCGAACCCTGCGGGACCCCTATTTTCATCTCAGAGCCCTGTGAGTTAGAACCACCTGCATGAACCCTCAGCTGCCTATCCACTAATGGATAATCCCGTAATGATCTAATTTGACCAAGTGATTCATGATCAACGCAATCGAACGCTTTTGAGAGGTCGCAAAAAACACCAACAGCATCCTGTGCTTTCTTCCAAGCACCGATACTTCCTTAATGTAAATAAAACCGGCGTCAGTTGTACAACCTTTAGTGGAACTGTATTGTTGGTAATGGAAGATTGCATGTTTATCAAAGTGATTAAGCATCCGAGAATTGAAATTAATGTTGGAGACAGAATGACTTCACTTCTGGTATCCGTAGCGGAGATCTTAGCGAGACATGTACCGGCAAAATGGCAAGGAGCGCAGTACTAACCCGTTGTTCCCGTAGGCAGCTCCGCCGTAGGCGCCGTAGGGCGGGTACAGCGCCGGCGCGTAGTCGGGCAGCGCCGCCACCGCGGCGGGGGCCTGCTCGGGGGGCGCCGGCGGCGCGGGGCCCGCGCTGCCCGCGCCCGCGCCGCCCGGGCCCTCCGCGATGCTGGGGATCTGGTCCACCAGCGACTCCAGCCCCGACAGTGACTTGGATGCCACATCTTGCGCCTTTGGCTTTACCGTCCCCGCGTACTCACCCGGCGAACCTGGTACGTAATCGTATTCACCTATTATCTCCATATTTCATCCAATCCATTTGTGTTTCAATAATAATTCGATAGTCGGTTGATATTCGACGTTTCAATACGGTTATACTTTTAAATCGAACTGTCGATACAGTAAATTTTAGAAACTTGCTAATTTTTTAAGAAATAGGTAAGCACGACTCCAAAGTATGGACTATTACGTATAATTTGAAGTTGTCAATGATTCATGTTGACACTAATTAGAATAGATTTTATAAATGAGATCTATTGTTTTATATGCATTTCTTAATATGTTATAACATGTGTAGGTAAGAGTGTTGTTGTCACCTGGCGCGTCGTGCGGCGTGTGGGCGGGGTGGGGGTGCGAGGGGGGGCGGAAGGCCGCGCCCAGCGGGGAGAACGCGCCCTCCGCGCCCGGGGGACTCGACCTGCGGACAGTCGGGGAACTCGCTGTCATCTCGCTCATTACGCACAAGTTTTCTTGCTTATTGGCAAAAAAAACCAGGAATAATTAAGTTGGTGATACGTTACCTATTGTAATTACTGGGATACATGGACGAAGGATGCTGATGTAACTGGTCTAATCTGGGGCTGTCTCCGACGCCTCCACCTGCACAGAGACAAGAGGCGGTGAGCGGCGGGCGCGGGCGGCGGGGGAGGGAGGGGGGGCGGCACGTACCCTGGTCCTGGCGGTAGTAGTGGTCCTGCTTGTCGGGCGCGGGGCTGTGCGTGTGCTGCAGGTGCGCGTAGTGCAGGCGCTCGTCGTAGAGCGGCGCGCCGAAGCCGGCGCCGGCCGGCGACATGTCGCTGGCCGCCGTCTGCGGGCACACGGCGCTGTAGCGGGGCGCGGGGCCGGTTGCCGGGCCCGGCGCGCCACTCACCTTGTTGTAGTCCGACAGCGACGAGTTGGAGTTGGAGCCGGGGTGCATGTCGGTGCTGCCCATGGGGCTGTGGTCGCGGTCGGGCTCGTCGCGCGCGTCGCGCTCGCGCGGCGGCTCGAAGTCGAGCGCCGCCATGCCGGGCGACACGGGCGCGGGCGACGAGATGGCGGCGCCGATCTCGTGCGAGAGCTCGCCGCCGAAGCCGGGCGCGGGCGCGGCGCCGCCGGCGTAGTGGTGCGGCTCCGTGTACGTGGGCGTGCGCGCCGGCGCGGGCGACGAGTGCTGCGAGTACGGCGTGTGCGCCGGGCTCGGCGTGTAGCTGTGCAGCGCGCCCGCCGGGGACGCCTGCGGGAACGGCGTCGTGCCCACCCCGCCCACGCCTCCCACGCCGCCCACACCGCTCACCGGCGCCGGCGACCGCGAGAACGGACGACCCTGCGACTTTACATAATCGTTACGTCATTTCTATAATTCCATGATCATTACGTACTATTTCTGAATTACACATAAATAATTATAATAATTTTAAACTTGAATCAAAAAGTGGTACTGACCTGCGGCGCGGGCGAATGCGAGTAAGGGTGCGGGTGGTGCGGGTGCGGGGACTGCGAGAACCGCGCCTGCGGGGCCGGGCTCTGCGGAGGGACAGCGAGTTACTATTTGGTCACACGGCGCTGTGTGTATATGTGTGTGTGTCTATCTGTGTATGTATGTATACCTGTGCCTGTTGGTGCGCGTATGGCGCGGGGCTGTGCGCATAGAGCGGGGAGCGCGCGGAGAAGGGCGCGGCGCGCGCGGCGGGGGACGCGTACCCGCCGCCCGAGCCCGCGCGCGGCGGGGACACCGCCGAGAACGCGGGGCTCGCGGGGAACCCGTGCATCACGCCGGACTCCTATTACACATACAAATCATACGTTCCTTTACTCAGAATCCATTTACGTTTTAGTACTTACGAACTTTGATATGTATATGCAAAAACAAATATAATTAAAAAAAGAACTCCAATGAATTCTTATATCATTGCACGTTTCTATGGGAAATAATAGAAAGTAAAGTAGAGAGATGACAAGAAGACAATTAGCAGAGAGACGTGGTGTACCTGTGGTTGCGGGGTGCCTGCGGGGCGCGCGGGGCTGGGCGAGTAGCCCTGGCTACGCGGGCTGGCGTATACGCCGCGCGGGGACGCAGCGTACGCGCCGGGCGAGCCATACCCGCGCGCCATGCCACCCAGCATGTTGCCCCCTCCGCCGCCGCCGCCCCCGCCGCCCACGTCCAGCCCGGACGACTCCATGCCGCCCATACCGCTCTCTGTCACACGAGCGATACTTAGTTACAATAGGTACCTATGTAATAAGTTACATAATACGGAATTTAATTTAAATACGGAAAATGGACGCGGTAGTGTAAATCGGAAAGAGGCCCGAAAAATATCCCAATTAAAATTAAAACTAGACAGAAAATCTATAAATGTAATCTAGAATAACCTCCTGCACTATCGGCCTTCTTGAAAGAAATGTCAAAGAGTGCACTTCTGATTTTCAGTTTGACTTTACAAACCCCCAATTAGCAATAAATGATTAAAGTTACGTCGACAGAGGATATATAATATGGCGAATGTCAGTTGTGGTGTGTAGGTCTTTTATATATAGAATCTATAGCGCCTTGTTTAGCTTTAATTTATAATCAAAATGTAGATCAGGGAGTTTTATTTGATGAAACATAGTAAAGTTCAAGTTCAGATGTTTAAATCTGGCGATGATACCGAACCCAATAATTATAGGCCGGTATGGCGGTATCTTTTTTACCAGTGCTTTAATAAGTCAGTTTAGTAAGGTGTTTGAAAAATGTATGCTTTCTCAGATGCTACGCACTTTAACATGAATTCCATCTTTCATGATCTGGGTTCACCAAGGGTCGATGCACAACTGACTGTGTTACCTGTGGTGTTACCGTGTAACTCTAATTCAGCATGTTTTTGCCTCGTGGTAAGTCACACGACGCTATTGGGATTTTTTGTGATCTGACCTAAGCCTTTGATTGCGTTGAACACGAGACAGTGTTGCTGAAGTTGGAATACGACGGCTTTTGAAGGCCGCCTATCAATTTATTAAAATCATATCAAGCTACCTGTCGGCCAGCCATATCTATGGGCGTACCACAAGGCTTGATATTAGGCCCTTTCATATTTTTAAATGACTAACCACGTTTATTTCAACGTGAGCCGGGATTGGTACATGTATATTTATTTTAAAATAAAATAGATGGACAGATAATCATCGTGTTACAGATAAAAATCGTTTAGGATTAAGTTTTTTACTGTAAACCAATTTTACAGTAAATAACTTAATCCTAAACGACAAAAAGACAAAGTGTATACGATTCAGTTTGCCAAATGTTAAAAGTAACGAATGCGAAATATTATTAAAAGGTGAGAAATTGAATTAAGAAAGAAAACTTTATGTAGACAAGCATATTACACATTGAATGATTATATTGAGGATAAAGATGTTTGGAGACATGCTGGCCCTGCTCCACTGGATAGCATACCTACCTACACCCAAATAAATAATGTTCCAATGGATTTTTGCGAATTTGAGAAGATTCGTTTAATCTTCTCAAATTTGTAAATGTGTAAATTAGAATGAAAACTTGATAAATTTGTAAATGTGAGTTACAGTAACCTGTTTTAATTGGTTAGACTAGCAGAATGTCGGTCCTTATATCAACTTGGAGTTGTCATGCTCACTCAAAGGTCACATTGGCGGTGGCACGGTCACTGGATCGCCCAATTCCCTATATTATGGTTGAGTTGGGCGATGCTGGTGTACGTGTCATGCTCGTGAACAGGCCACGTCAGTTGGGACTGGTCAGCTCCGGACTGTCTATTGTCCTTGAGGTTATTTTCTTTTTATGTTTCTCTGTATAAATATTTGTGTTACACTGTTCTCGCATAATTGAACCAACTAATTAATTTACCAAATGATGTGAAACTGATTTAAAAGAGTAACAATGGAGTTTCTTGCTTGTTCTTCTCCATTGAAATCTACACTTTGGAACGAACAAATTGCTTCACTAAAAGAACAAGCCGACAAACTGACACTTTATATGTTTAAAATTTTGTTTCATGTCCAAAAGTGCCTGGAATAATATTTATATAAAATTATCAAATATTAAAGTCAAAATCAAATCATTTACATATTTCAATTAGATCAGCATAGTCAAATTTGAAAAACAAACAAAATAATCCTTTAGTCCTCCAATAGAGCCTAAGTCAACGTCAAATCATTTATATCAAATAGACTTTGTGTATTGGTCTGTTGAAATGTGAACTATTTGCTTGTACCAAAGTGAACTCAGTTCTTTGTTTAACAATCAAATCGCTACAACCACTCAATACCGCTGCAGGTCCTGAACGCCAGGATCTACAATAGACGCAACAATGAAGACACCGAAACACTGTAGTCCGGCGGCGCGTCTCAAGAACATGTACGACTATCTTGGATCCCGCAGTGAAATAAATCAAGAAGATATAATTGGGGGAGCAGAAAAAAAGTTAATAGTTGGCTCTTCCCTCTGCGAATTTAGTGCAGGAGATAGAATTACCTAAGCCTAACAGGCACAAAAGAGACTACAACTGGAAGAAGCCCAGCAGCAACCAAACACCACGGAAAATGAACTAATTTAACGGGTTCTATATTTATTTCCAGTAAATAGGTAAGGCAAAAACGCCTAAACGCATGGAAATCTGTTCTACATTCCACAGTTTGAGTGAGTTTACATGTGAGAACATTGTATAAATATTTAAGCAAAGAAACGAAAAAAAAAAAATAACCGCAACGACAATATATTTAGACAGTTGACCATTCCCAATCGACGGTGCCCATTTAAGAACATGACACGTACACCAATATCGCCCAATTCAACCATATTATAGGGAATCGATGGCGTGCCACCGCTAATGAATGAGCATGATAACTCCCATCTGACGCAAGTACCTTCATTCTACTAGTCTTATTAAATTTGAATAGGATAAATGGCACTTCAGGTTTACAATAATTATCAATCAACAACATGCTGTACCATTTAATGACTAAAATCCATCCAAACAATAATTGTTTTCATGAATAGAGCCTGTGAAGGACCAGCTAGCCTCCCATTTTTATCTTCTATATAGTCATATACTTTGATTTTAGAAGTATGCTCGTCGACATACATTTTCTTCGCATATTTTAATTTGCTTTTATTTAGTTCTCATGAACAACTTGTGTACTATTTCCAATATAAATAAAGTCTGACTTAATCTATCCCTATGTCTTGTTTGATAGTTATGTTAGTGAGTTAATTATAAACAGCGATAGCTTTGTGTGCGAAGTACGAATGCGTTATAGTAGTAGCAAAATACAAAATTTGGATAGAACACATAAAAAATTGACAAATTTCAAATATTCATCATAAGAGGCACACTAAGCGATGAATTGCCTCAGTTTCTGGTTCGTTGAATAAAAGCATGAAGTGAGGGTATAAGTACCGGAGTTGGGTTGCTGCTGCTGGAAGTAGTTGGGCTGGTCGGGCGCCAGCTGCTGGTGGTGGTGGGGGTAGAAGTCTGCGGGCGCCAGGTAGGGGGGCGCGGCGGGCGCGTCGTGCAGCGCCTGCAGCGGCGGCGCCTGCTGCTGCAGCAGGTAGTGCGGGTCGTCGGGGCGGATCTTCTTGGGCCGGCCGCGCTTCTTCTTGGGCGGCTGGTCGTGCGCGTCCAGCGCGGGCGGCGGGCGCGGCGCGCGCGGCTGGCGCGGCGCGGCGGGCGCGACCTCGCCGTTCTCCAGCTTCACCTTCTTGGGCCGGCCTCGCTTCTTCTTCAGCGGCACCTCGGTGCCGTCCTCCAGGATGATGGTGTCGCCCGGCTCCGGCTCCATCGTCAGTCTGCAACGTGGCGCGCTCACTGCGACGTCTGTCGTGCGCTTACTCTACTGCCCTACTCCCTACGGGTCGGCCCTCGCCTCGCCTACCTCGCCTCCGCGCTACTGTCTCTGGCGGTGACCTCAGGGTGTACTAAATTCAATCCCAGGATTAATGAGCAGTCACAAGGGTTATAATAGACCAGGCGAGGGCCAGCTCGTCCGCCTGCAAGCACGACACTATGCCAGCAGACAGCAGCGCGGCGGCGCACTACTGCAGCGACTCCCCGGGCGCTATCTCGCTGACATCTTACCACCCAAATAGTCCCCGGCCCGCATCCTGCCTACTCAACATTGCGGCCCGTGCATTATTGCGTGTCGTGTCTAAACATCTAACGGTGAGTTCGTTACGTAAATCTATCAAAAGTTATGCTCTGGCAGCGAGTTATATTACCTGCTGGCTTGGCTGAAACAATCGAAGAATTGGAAATAAATGGGCTAAGTTCAATGAGTACAAGTGAGTGAAAACTAAACATCTTTTAACAATCGGTAGGAGGCGCCGAGCGCAACTACGGGGCAATCACAGGGAGACTCACACACTGGCACACTGTCCATGCTACGAGGGGTCTACTGGTCACTACACACAAACATATGTGTCACTAGACGTTACTATATCGTGAAGTATTGTTAACACAGTGAACAAAGCGTAGTACGACAGCAACACACGATTGATCTAGTTCGGTGCCAGAACTATGACTAGTTGAGGCGACACTGACTATGACGTGTAACACGTTATCCAACATGAGCACACACAGGGGACACAGCGCAGTGGATCCGCACACGAGTGCAGCGACACAACATACGTCGGACGGTGAGTGCAGGGCACAGAGTAAATTACGCTTACAAGCGGACACTTCTTAATTTCTGGATATGTTATAACAAAAATATTAACAAATCGTCGCCATGCCCAAGAATTATTGCCGCATTACGTTCACAGCAAAGAAATATTTAAAATGGCAACATTGCGCAGACTGCTAACTAGAGTAAGGAGAATCTGTCCTCACTATACTAGACAAATTCAACACGTGAATAAAAATAAAATAGCTCAAACAAAGATAGCTCAAGCAAAGATGTTATATTAAACTACGCAGACTGGACAACCCACAATAAACTCAATAAAATTGATTTTCATCCAAGTAAGTTATTTTCGTAATCGTAAAAAAATCCTAATTAGACAGTAGGACTCTCTTACGGTACTCAACAAGTTCGGCCTTGCTACTATTGTACTTTGCCTTAGACTTAAGATATTATACATTTTGTAATCTACCTTTTTATAACAAATAAACATTTATTAATATATTGCAACAGAACATGCGCCCTGAAGATTCGGAACAAATTTGCATTTTTTAATTTAAGATCGATTTCATCAACAAACTTCGCCTGGTATTGTCTTTTAGCAACGTGGCCCGTATTGTTCCTAATTAGTAGATTTAGAGTTTGTAGGCGATCCTGACAGAGTTAGGAAAGTAGAATAATAAATTGAACATATTACAGAAAACAGAAGCAAACATCCACATAGAGGCGTGTCTACCCGACGGCGTCGGCAACAATATTAAATAGTGATGAAGAGCAACAAAGAGGAGAGAACATGATTCAAGGTAAATACATTACCGTAGTTCTGAAGTGTGCGAGCGACGCACAAGGCGACGGTTCGGTACTAATAAGTGTATGAGTCGACAGACAGACAGACAGACAGACAGCGTGGCCTACCGTCGGATCTCCATCTCCTCCTGCGGGCGGCGGCTGGTGTTGTCGGGGAAGACCAGCTCGGCCTCGTCGACGTGCGCCACCAGCCCGTTGAGGTAGTCGCGGAACTTCTTCAGCGCCGCGTAGAAGGGCACCTTGTCGGCGGCGCGCGGCAGCTGGGCGCAGCGCGCCGACGACGACGGCATCACCCACATGTACTGCGACAAGCCAGCGGTCAGCGGCGCCCCGGCCAGCGACGGGCCGCCGCCTCCCTACTATCTCACTCACGGTGTTAGTGCCGGCGATGGTGTCGGGCTGCTTGCCGAAGCAGAAGTCCTTCTTCCCGGAGAACACCTCGTAGATGAGCTTGCCGTTGAACACGGCCACCTTGGGCCGGAACGTCTGCAGCTTCTCCAGCAGGATGGCGGAGCCCTCCTTGATCTCGCGCCGCGTCAGGTCCGCGCTGCCCTTCGTCGGCCGCGCCACCATGTTCGTGAACCCGATGCCGAAGTTCAGCAGCTGCAACACGAGACACGCCACTGAGGCCACTGCCGCGAGACGCGCACTCTGCTCCAGCGGAGTACAGTCACTACTGGTACTCACCTTGTAGTCTTCGTCAGCGCTCATCTGTTCCCTTGTGAGGCCGGAGAGGTACAGACACTTCCAGAAGTGGTTCCCGGGGCCCGCGTAGTGGTGTCCCTTGTACGCCGCGAACAGACCCGGGTTGATGCCGATCTGTCATACAAATGCTTTTGTATATATACTCGAATATAATTTCAGTTAACGTCACATTATTTATTTATGTTCCAGTAATAAATATTGACAAATGTACTGATTTCATATTGTGCGTATGGTGAGTGCAAGCATGTTGTCCGCACTGGATTGGTCAATTTAGTACACGAACAGGATTTATACAGCGTGTACAAATCTACCATACAGATACTTTTATCACAGTAATACGTTTATAATCCAGCATCAACTCAACGTGTAAGGCTCCGAGCCATACAATGTACAACAAAATAAGTCGCTTAATTGTCTCTCAGGTGTACAAAGTCTACATACAACTACATATAACTACAAATTATTATTAAGGGTTACATCGCGATATCAAAAAGTTATTTTTTCCTGAAGATTCCCTAAGTATATTTCCAGCCGGGGCTGCGGGGCTAGCGTGATAAGGTCCCGCGGCCTCGACCTAAAGCAGGAGAGGGAAGGACCGGTTTTAGTAAGTGTCTGACACTACTCGGCGCACCCTGGGCAAGAGATTTTCTATTTACAAAAAAATGTGCTAATAATTGATCTAAAAGATAATACTATTCTACTAAGTAAAGAGAGATAGAGAAACGGCGATCATACTCACAATGATGATGTCGAGGTTCTCCGCGAGGTGGTCGGGCAGAGTGCGGCGGGAGACCTCCTCCTCGCTCATGCCGTTGAACCGGTCGTGCTTCTTGCGCTCCTTGACGGGGCGCGGCACCAGCGCGCCCTCCATGCCGGCCTCCGCCTTCAGCTCCATGCTGCCACACAAGACGCGCGTCACTACACCGCCAATACTAACCCAAGCGCTGCCTTCACCAGCTATTCACATACCTTAGCAAAACTATGCACAAATCAAGGGAAACAACTTAATGACAAAAGTTGTAAGAGTTGCAACTCACCACATGAAGCTGACTCCGCTAGGCGGGCTTGCAATGTGAGGCAGGGATTATAATTCAGATGTCGATCACTAAGTTTCATTACAGACAATTCCATTTCACTAAGATATTGTGACAACTGGAAAGTGACACAAGAATGAGGTTCCTCCGACGAGATCGCGCCACGAGACAGCAACGTAATTAGTAAAAAAGTATGATAACAGACTTTGAAGAATTGATTATATTTTATGTAGGTATTTAGTTTACATGTTGACTTTATTTAATTTAAAATAATCGTGAACGTCGCGACGCGCACGCTGCTTGAGGGTTAGGGGTCCCGTTGTAGCTCGAAACTAGTAGAGCATTTCTCAGTTAATCTCATGACAGCTACAATTATATTATAATAAAACTATTGACTTTGAGTGTGTAGTATGCAGGCGGCAGCAGCTGGTGATTAGCGACAGACTGAGGACGGTATTTTTCCTTTTACCTTGAAAAATTTTACGACCTATTCTATAGTAAGATGCGAGTGAAATTATATTATAGTTTACATCGTATTTCCGGAAAAACAGAATGTCTTCTAATTGACGGACGGGCTGACCATCGTAGTACTTATTAAGACTTTCGATTTCAAAATTTTAAGTAGAAACAGAACGCGGTACGGGGCCCTGTATTTGGCAATATTTTCGTCCTGTATGAAAGCATCTTCGGGGAATAACGTCATAAGTCATTTAGAATAACGTGACGCGCAGCGCTCGTGTAATTACAGATAATCAGCACCTCGTGACAGGTCGGGGCACACGGCCCTGGTGCGGAGCCCGCACCGCGTCGGTGGCGAGGAGCGCGCAGACAGCATTGTGCGCGCTACAACGCGCAATACCAGCGGGCGACACATTTACATTATTGTCGCCGAGAAAGTATTGCCTCACTGTCTGGCTCATTCATGTTTTTCTGTCGTTTTTCTATCGCATTTTACTTTCTAGGAGCTTTGCTGCAGCGGCGGCCGCGGCTAGCTGTCGCCTATGTTTGGAACTATCCAGCAAGGTGAACGTATCGTTACTGCAGTACTACCGACTACCGATGTTATATTGCTCCACATCGAATCAATGACGCGCTATCTCTGTGGACAAACGGTTGATCGACCCGCGCCCCTAAACAAATAAATTCAGATAGAAAGCGAGCTTCGTCAGCTTTTCGTTTCAACGATTCTACCTTGATCTGATTATTTCGCTCGGATTTTTGGCTAGCGATAGTGCGGCATCGGTTCCGGTACCGAAATACCCCCGCGACGTAAACACATCGGCGGCGTGCGCGGGCGCGGCGCGGCTTCACAGCGCGTCGCTAGCTGCGCGCTGTGTTGACGCCGGCGTCAACATTTCGAGATGCGTGCGCACGACTTACTTGTCATTTGCTCAGTTAGTTTCAGTTTGAGCTATAAACATCTATTTGATATCAGTTGTGGCCTCATTCAGCTGCCGCACTCATTTTACACAGAATAAACGGAGATATGTTTCTCAACTTCTGATACGAACCAAATATCTACTGCCTTCAAATATATAAAGATTACACCGATCTTGACCAAAGTAACTTATCAAACGCTTCTCACAAAAAAATTATTAGTGTAATTGCACATTTTCTTGAACATATAAGAACAATAATATGATATAATTGAATAAATTTAAGGCCTTTCTACACCATACCATACATACTGATTGGACAATGCAAGTCAATTATTGCTTTAATTAATTGTATCCAACGCGCTAGTTACTTAGTGTTAACGGACTCTAATTGTCTACAAAGTGTGCACGGGGTATTCCCATAGAATATGAGTAACCATACAGAAACTGTACAGCAGCTAGGCTAGCTATGATTTAGTGTATATCGTGGTGGGCTCAGGCGTGGGTCGCAACCGCGGGTTCCGCCGCTGTGGAAGTGGGACGCGCGCGGATCGCTAATTCGGGCGGGGTCAGCGGCCGCCCGCACTAATTGTGTCACCATGCTGCACCGCCCCGCGCGGCGAGCTACGGCCGTACTACGGCGGGGTCTGCTCCGGCAGGCACTACCTGTCACTTCATTACACTGAACCAAGTACTTTTGTGCTAGGAACCAAGCTGCGGCAGAGGTAGCGACCATGACACACAGACTGAAATACTGACCCGTTTTCGTCCTTGATCTTTTTCTTGCGGCCGCGCTTCTTGGGCTGGTTGAGCATCATCTGCTGAGGATGCATCATGTGCGCGTGGTGCTCGTGGTGCTGCAGGTGCGGCGGCACGGCGTGGTGCTGGGGCTGGGCCAGCATGGCGCACATGGCCTCCTCCTCCACGAAGGAGTAGGGGTCCTCGCACTCACGCTTGATGCCGTTGTACATGTCGTCGTCGCGCTTGCCCGTGGGCGCGTACTGGTGGTGCTGGCTCATGTCGTACGGCACCTCGGGCTCGCGCTTGAACGCGTACGGGTCGCCGCCATACTTGGGGAACGGGAAGTGCTGGTACTGCGGCTCGGGCTGCGGGGGAGGCGGCGCGGGCGGCTCGAAGTGCCGGTAGGGCTCCGGCTCGGGCTCGTAGTGCCGCATGAGCGGCTCGTAGGGTGGGTCTGGCGGTGGCGAGGGTTCAGCAGGCGGCGCCGGCGAGCCCTCAGCGCTGGAGGGCTTGCGACGCGCCGCCTCGCCGCTGTTACTCGTCTCGTACCCGTCGTCTTGGTTCTCTGTCGGCTTCGGCTTCTCTTCGCCCTCCTCCCTGAAACACACAACTTATCCATTAGCTACAAGGTAAGTACCTACTTCTTTTAAAAAGATCGTATGCTCGGTAGCATTAAACGCATCAAGCATAACGCCGCGATATTCTACTGAATAAATCAAGAAAGTCAAACAATTCCCAGTTGTAAAATTTCTTCTTTATCTGAGCTCGGAGTCAAGTCCGATACCTAGACGCTTGGTACACGCAATTAAATAAGTTAAAGTTGATGAAGTCTTTATTTTACCCGAACATGACGTTCAGCACTTCATCAAAGACCGCAAACCATACTAATATGTACAATAAATTAGTTAGTTTGTTTATTATTATCTTTCTCTTCTTCTTAATAAAATATACTATAACAACACATATGTATATGAGGAGACATAAGACTACATTTTCAAAGCGGGCTACGCTACACTTTTCTTACGTAGGCATTACATTGTTTCAAATATATTTCTAGGTTTATCAGCGTGCTTTGTAGACGAGTTGTAAGTACCTACTATTATTTGTGTTTAGCCTGGGTTACATTTTTTATTCATTCGAAACGAAAAAGTGATTGTCTTTAGCTCAGTCGTTATGTTAGTATATGTCCAAACTTTAACATGTGGTTGTTCTAGGACTGTATACTATAAGACGTGTGCCCTGTCTATCTAGCTTTAACATTCAATTCAATTTGTTTTATTGCAAGACCATTAATGTTACAAAGTTCTCAGTTACACAAACTCATTCACAGTTATATATTGCAGCATAGACAGCAGGGTGCAGGCCATGTAGGCATCAAGGACCCAAAACATATTATATCGTAGCAAAGCATCAAGCAGGCGGCCGTGCTGTCTGTTCAGGTGATTTGTGGCGACGGATCACCGTTCCTTTGATAAATGTACCCGCGCCGTGCCGGCCAGCGGCGGCCGCGGCGGCCTAACGTCTTTCGTCACGCACATTTTTCACATCACTCTCACGCAAATTCCTCCCAGGCCCCAGAGCCAGGGCACACTCGCAGCGACTCCGTATTAAGTCTCGCGAGTGATTCACAAAGCCCACTTGGAATATTGAGATCAGCTGATCATGTGGCGGCGGACATTATGGCACATGTAATAATCATAGCCGGCGCACTTGCACTGCGAGCTCCATTCATAAAAGTGTTCTCTTGAATTATTACCAGCCCGCTACTTACTTATTATTGGAATTGATGTAGTAAACACATAGTAGCCGATATTAGTATTGCGTTACATTACTATTTATGATCGCTATTTACTAAAATGAATTGATTATTGAAATGTTCGAGCTAATTCATTGTATAATCGTGTTATTAAAAGTATATTTATGGCGATATCAACAGCTGTAGCGTGCAGTGTGTAGCACGCGGGTATAAACAAAACAGACGTGCCCACTTATACGTAAACGTATAAAATGTGATTGCGGTTGTTGGGTTGTCAGTGTCGGCAGAGGGTGGAATCTGAGAATGTGGCGGCAGGTGGGGTGCGACGGTAATGTATTTATACATGTTAAGCGGGATACGAGGCACGGCGCTTCGAATACCTCGGCCGCGCCGTGATCCCGGCCCAGGAGACAGGCGTGCTCGGTGCTGTGAGCGAAGCAGCAGTAGGGGTCTGGTACATGGGATGGGGCAATTCCCCATTTCTGATAAATATTTCAATGGTTAATTAACCAAATTAAGTGTTTTTCGACTATAACGAATACCTGCTTATTAGTTTGCTCACAGCGATTTAACGTCACGAGATAGTGAATCTAAGTAACCTTTGCAGTTGTTGTGTAGGTATAATTGATAGCTTCACATCGTGCACCGCGTTCCAACGGCCATGGTTGAGCACAAGTTTCCTCTTACGTGGAAATGTGAAATAATACTTCATTTAGGTTTTAAATTTGTTATTTCAATAGGCGGTGACCTGCAAGGTCAAGACACAATGCGTCGCGTTACGTGCGAGCCTCGGCGCAATGTTCCAGTAGTGGAGCGAGGCAGTGCGCTGCACCAGGGGACGCAGTCAACGACCCACTTCTGTGCAGATAACGCGCAGATATTGACTCGATGATTAAGCCACATGCCGCGCGTTCTGATAACTCGAAAGGCGTGCAGTACTCTCCTACAACATGGCTTGTACTACGTACAGCGGCGACCTATGTACGCCTCGGCTACACTATACCTATACATACTATGGATATATTTCCTACCGAGGCGTCGGCGCTTGACGAACGAGCTCTTTATCTCGACGCTCGTTGCTAGCAGCTCAACTTGTGCTGGTCGCTGTACGGTGCAAATAAGGAACTAGGTGTAGTTGAGCTTCGTTTCCAAACTCTTATTGACCCGCTTTGAAAACGGTGTAGGTATTTAGAAGTAGAAATGGTGTACAATTAAATTGCAACGCAGTTGTATCGTCCGCGCGCGACACGTCACCGAGGGAGGACACTTCCTCTTGTAGATATAACGAATACATGTTTATGTGTGCTATACTGCTGTACGCTCCATTGTACTGCGCTCGACGTACACAGGCCAGCCGAGTCGCTCACATAGATTCCACACTATTAAGTATTTTTATGAACGTTGCTGTGAAGTCAAGTACCGTTAACCTGTTTAGTTCTTCAACAATTCGTATGCACATGCCCGAAGTTAGCCTCTCCGCGCAAAATGATATTCATCATTAGGTACCCAAGACCGCACACAAGCGATGTGTTTGCCGAACAAATATGAAGCAGGCTCAGCTGAGGAGTTCTCCACGACATTAGTGGTCGGCGTGTGCGAGGTCGGGCGGATGCGTGGATGTCATTGAGTGGTGTCGGGCGATGCTATGAAAAGGTTTCGTCCTACAAGTGACAGGGAGACGCACTGGGAGGTGACCGGCCGCCCGTAAAAACGAACCCGGCCGCGTCACGCCAACCGACACTACACACACCTACCTACGTATGTAAGCGCTGTGTGCTCACAGCCCGCACACTACTGCCAGTGTGGGAGTGAGCTCTGCGGCCGGACGCGATATACAAGCCTAGCCTCCTGGTTCCATCGATTCGCTGCTGCGCCACCTACCAGCATATTCTGATGTCAATATCATTCATTCTACGGTATAGCTATAGACACTCCAAGTGCTGATTAAAAATAAAAGAATTTAACAGCTCGAACCTCGAACCCAGCTGTCGATGGAGAAATGATCCCACGATCGTACACCTAAGCGAACACTTATCGGATTAAACAAATTCAAACGTCGGGTTGGCAACAAAAGGAAGGAGCATACAGTACCTACTTACACGTACCTATCTGTGAATAGTTAATTAAGCAAGTATTCGAAACGATAGTGCGTTTCATAAATGAGTTTTTGCAAAGAGTAGTTATGTAAGTAGGTGGGTATGTAGTACAACGAGCAGGCTGGGAGAGGCAATGTGTCTTGTTTCGACGCTGCCGTTGCTATGGTTCGGATCGATGGCGGTCGCCCGATCTGACGGCACACACTTATTAAGTACTCAGTATCTTTATACCTTGCTGCTGAATATTGTATGCGATAAACGCTCTGCTGTCCCTCCTTACTTATAAATTAGTACTTGTCAACGAGGCATGCGTGGCCGACACTTTATAACAAAGTATGCTAAAGTAGGTCTCCTGTTGTTTTTTCATAACTGGATGCTTACTATAATACAAGCGATTAGTGTTCTTATTTGTTTGTTGTGACGACTGTTTCAGCAAAGTTTTTAGTACAATATGCTAGTTAGACCTATTATGCTACACCGCTAGTGGATTGCCTTTCTTCGGCTTTTGGTTTTGTCGATTCCTTTCATATGAATACTTTTAGTTAAAATACAAACTATCAACTTTGTATTGCGTAAAATACTTAAGTTACAGGATGATATTTCATAATCGAGAGCGGCGTGAGTCTGAAAGAGCCTTGGACCTGTGGACTGCAATGAGCTACGGAGACAGATTGCCAAGCTCCGCTCAGTATAACTTCAAAAACTCGTTTTGAGCTCATTAGCAAGTTATAAACAGTCGTAGTTGGCGTTAAGTATACGTTTCATACACACATATAGATAGTACATCAGGTGGTCGAAGTAACAAGTCTTCAAGTCGGAGCGTACTACAGCACGTAGGTAGACAGGCGCCTGCCCACGAGATCCGAGTACGGACGAATAAATTTGCGCGACTCTACGGTTTCCGTTCACAACGGAAAAAGTTTTTATAAGTGAGTTGAGCGTGTTTGGCACAATCGTGCTTGATAGAGTAATGTCAAGTGTCAAGGGTAGGGCTGGCATTAGTGCGTAGCTGGCGGGTCTTTCCTTATTGTCGCTTATCTTTCATGAGTTTGGAGTCACAAACACTGCACCAACTCACTACAACAGCGGTCGGCAACCTTTTGGTAGGCAAGGGCCACAAGGTGGCAAAATAAACTAAAGGCGGGCCGCAGTCATGGTAATTGACCCTAGAAGCCCAATATAGCTACGCATAATTGGTCAGATTGCATAGGAAAAATAAAAATGCTATTAAAAATTGATAAAAGATAAGGAATTTAATTCGTTCACATAATACTTACATTATGTTTATATGTTTGGGTTCTATAGCTAGAAAAATAAGAGAAAAATAAAGTAATGAAAACTACCAACTACCTACATAGAAAACTGATTTTACACAAATTTTAGTGTGATGTCTGAGGTTGCATTTGAGAGGCTATTTCTTGTATGTTAGCTGTCATATTTGTAGTTGCGATTCGTAGAATGGCTCTCAAATGCTCATCTGTGAGACGAGAAGCATATTTATTTTTTCTATAATTGACAATTGAAAAAGTTTGTTCGCATAAATAAGTGCTACCAAAAATTGTAATGAACTGCTTAGCAAACTTTTTCAACTCGTCAAAATCAGATGGCAAGCTAGCATAAAATTTAACAAGATCATTGATTTCATAGAAAGAGCTTTTGAGAGTATCATTAGATTGAAGATCAATCACGTTCATTTGTAAATGAATCGGTACATCCTCAACATCACACGAATAAGGATTTGCAAA